AAATATAAAGTCAGAGTTTCCTTACGATGTTTTTCTTTAGCATTAATTTATAAGTAGTGTCTAAATAATCATATAAAGTACATATAAGTCGGAAAAGTCATATTGGTACTTGAACCCTCGCGTATGAGAAGCTCATGTTCTATTATGGTCCATATTTTAATAAAATAATGCAGATTTATTCAATTTCCAACCATTGAACATCAATTTACCGAACTTGAAGCATCTACTATCGAATTCGAATACAAAACTATTTGGTGGAAACTGCACCGCGCTATCTACAAGTTTTCAAAGCAAATACATAATAACCGCAGCGACCATTTTCGATTTAAACTTTAGCGGTATAACGTATAGACGTTGCCTTTGTTCTATTACAGTTTTATATATCTACATATTATACATTATTATCACCATATAAGTGTGGGAGAGCCAAGCTTCGGCATTCGGCGGGCCGGCTCGACCGGATTGATACCACGGCCCCACAAAAGACCGGCGTGAGCGTTTTGTGTCGCCGTAAAAGTGAAGTTACTGGAGGCCTTATAGGCATAAGGCATCCATCCCACCATCCCTTGCCAATCTTTAAATATTCGAAACCCTAAAAGGTCGTAACTCCTTTGGTATTGCGGGTGCCTATGGACGACGCCGATTGCTTACCATCAGGTAATCCTATTTTGCCTATTCGTGCCGAATAATGCCTTTCCCACACTTGTAGTAGATACAGTGATTGAAGACGAATGTTCATATTTTATATAATAACATCCATTAAATAGTGAAGAAATTTAGTATCAGCATTGCATCCGTGAGAAGAAAGGACGGGTCGCTAAGCAAATAAAAATAAATTAAAAAAAAAAACATATTTTATTATAGTTTCTACCTATTCTTCTTGGGAAAAGACGTAATAGCACTAACATTTACATTTATATTTTGTTACATAATTTAATTGCTAATTTTCCTAACTAGATGGCGCTTGCGATGATTTAAGGGCCCACAATCTACAATATTCAACCAAAAAAGATGTACAAATTTATCTCGTAAATTGAGAACCTTTGTCGCAATTTAATAAGGACATCTAACATCCAAAACATTCACTTTTACATATTCATCCTAACTCATACCCCTCATATTACATGGCCAGTACCATAATCTATGCCATATTTCTTCTAAATTCTTGCTTCACTTTTTCTTGAAAAAATACGTCACATAACATTTTGCTTTCAGGCTTTCCAGGCTTTTCAGGTCAGTACTCAGAAACCTTTCGATCCTGAACTACAGCACTTCATATAGGGTGATGCGATATAACTTTTGAAAAGCGTACTTTATAACTACGATTTAAAATTCAGTTTTCACTGTCATAGTTTGACGACATACGACGCCAAATCTTGTGTCGATTATTCTGAATTCTATTTTAAGAGTAATTAGATAGTGTTGTTATTCGTTTGTATTTTGATATGTGAGATTAGACAAAATAAATCTCTTTATTGTTTTATTTGTTTGTTGACAAGAACGTCAAGGATAGTGAATCACTTAGAGTGTTTGTACAACACTGTATATCGCGTTTCATAGCCGAAAGGGATAAGTAGAAGTGTAATTTATACGAAAGTGTTACATGAGACATCAAAACAAAACACATTTTCGTATAGCATTTTATCACACACAATGTTATTCAATAATAATAAACCTTTAAGAAAAGAATGAAATCTTTCTTATACGTCTTCAATATAATGGTCTTCTCCATGGGCGGTGGCGATCGCTTACAATCAGGTATCATTTGATCGGCGATACTCGATTGATACAGCGCTAAACGCTGATTTCCAATTTACCGAAGAAGTAACGAGTGCGTTTCCGACCTTTCGGCGATTAGGGATTTGTAGATTTAGGGATTGGGCCTCCGGTCACCTCACTCACACGGCGAAACGAAACGAGTGGCTTTCTGTGAGGCCGTGATATCACTCCGGTCGGTCTGATCCATTCGTGCCCAAGCTAAGCTTGGCTCTCCCACACTTAACTCCTTATTAATTATCACCTAATTGCAAGCGATAAGGCGGCAAACGAGCAGACGTTGATACAAGTGGTCATAAAAGCGCTGACCACAAAAAAAAACCATTCTTAAATAAAAATGTTCATCATCTTTTCTGATTTTGTAAATGAATTATTACGTATGCGTAATAAAATATTACATCAATTATTCAAATGCGTCAACAGTGTTTCATTGCACAGTTAACGTGGTGGCTGGGTAAATGGGTGCCGTGCAACGTGTCGCTAGTTCGAATCGCACAAGAAACATTTTTTTTATTTATTACCTATAGATGCGCAAAACAGATACACACACAGTGAATCGGAAAACAAACACTGAAACAGAAGTGCTGTATATTCCTGATTGGAATCTCTTCCTGCAGAACTCCAAAAGAAGGAATGTGTGTAATACACAAAAATAAACAAAAAAGAAATAGAAACATAACTAAAGCCTAAGACAAATCTTAAAAGTACACAAACAAAATAACGTTGTGTAAAAAAATATATATACTAGCTACTCTCGCATGGTTTCAACCGCTGCTTGGCTCCATTTGATCGTAGCGTGATGTTTTATACCCTATAGCACTCAGGAACATTGTAGCTATCTATCACTTAAAGAATTTTGGATATCTGACCAGTGGTTCCAAAGATTACCCTCTACATACAAACTTACAAATTTTACCTCTTTATAATATTAGTAGGTATAGATAATAATGCTTTTGTGTGATCCACAAATTGTTGTTCCGCGTCTGGGTTTGATGTGTATATGAAATGTGTAGTTTATATAGGCAACAATAACACCGGAAAAATCCTTGAACAGATAAAATTAATTCAATACCATCTAGTAATCTCTTCTTACTTTTCCTTTTTTCCATCCTAACTGCCACCATTCACAGACGTCAAATATATAATTACATAAACTGTTCCTTAGTAAAGATTTTGTTCCATCAGAAATTGGTAAGGACTATGCAAAATAACTCTGAGTACGGCGGTTAGTCATATTTTACGTCACAAGTTCTAAAAATAGACTGAAAACAAAAGATAGCTATTGAAAATTTTTGAGTAAAAAGTCATGTCGCATCGCCATCTTTTCAAATATTCATTGTTTTTCCGTTGAACTGTGTCAAGGTAAGATGAGAAACTTTTATGAATATCTTATACGTTGTTGTTTTGTAGGGAAAAAGTTAAATAAGCAAGTGATTCTTCGAAAAAACCCTTACCCTTTATTTCAATCAAATCAATATCCTTTTTCATACTTCACAGTATGTACCACTTTTTTTTGACCGCATCGAATGCTTGAGACCCTTTTTAATTTTTTAATTCATTAATATTTATATGTTTTTTTTTATTCGAATCGTATTGTTGCTTTTGGGTTAAGGATAAACAGATTATTTAATTACTTATAAGAATTATATGAGTTCTGTGTTGTTTGTTCTTTATTTTATGTTAATTGTGTGTTAACCACTACATTTAATTTTGATTGATATTTTTCTAATAAAAATATGTAAGTATATTGCAAAAGACACATCTGTCTCATCCTTCATTTAAATTGGGATATACATTTACCTATTTATATGTCCTCCTCTTCGCCCAGATGAATTCAAAACACGGGACACTTTTTTAATTCTTCATCAAATTAAATACTTTCAATGATCTATTGATTTCATAATTATATGTATCATACCACGATGCAGTATATTATATACGTATATTCCTAACCTTAAATTCTTTTGGTTTATTCGTATCACTTTTCTGTAAAATATGTAGAAAAATTAAATATCTATAAGTATATTAAAAAATGTAAATATTTATATTATATTTTCATTACTAAATTGACGGATTATATCGATTTTATTTTGCATACACTACCATTATCCCTATTTTATATGCTATTTGTTCAAAAATGATTGGTCATAAACTATTTTTAATAAAATATGGGTTTATTTACTGACGCAATGTTTAAACTCGCAATAATTTTGTGAATTAAATTCCTCATTAAGCCCTGAATAGTCTGCTCAACCACTGCTCTACCCACGCATTTATGCTGTTTGCAATTTTACTGCAAATATCCTAGCCTTATGCAAATATTATTATTATTGTCTTTGAAATATCTTCTGACCTTTTCCAGAATAAAAAAAAACGTACTAAATGAGAAACATATTCCAGATCTTGTTGTGGATGAATGTAGTTAAATATAATTAGAATGCTTCTGCAGAAATACAATACTTAAGCTCTGATTTCTTTAACCACCAAAACTAATTGTGATAGCTTCAAAAACTCAACACTCACCTTTATCTATAGTGAAAACATTTTTCTAACGTATGATGAATTAATTCAGTTTAATTTTCATCATCATCACCCTGTAACTGGCCCCTGGTGAGCTAAGGCCTCTTCTCACACAGAGAAGTATTAATGGCAAAGACGGATTGGCGATCTAAAACTTTTTTTCCCTCACGATTTGTCCTTTGCATTCACCGTATGCCAGTGGTGTCTAAATTATAATCATAGAAAGTACTTATAACTCGGAAAAAAGTCTCATTGGTACTTGCCGGGTTGTAAACACGCACCCTCATGCATGAGAAGCGGGCGCCTCTTTCCCACAACAAGTTTTCAAATTTAATATTCACATACAATTTAAGAGGTTTACCTGCAGTCGTAAAAGCTTTTAAAAGTTCTGAAACATCATATGCACATAATTGTAAATAATGCTTTAATTAAGAAGTTTTATTAAAATGTACAATGTCGCGTTCAATTAACAAACATTTTCGAATATTTTAACTCCATTTAATGCTTAGAATTCTCAATTGATAGCATTTTTTTTTGTTAATTTTGTTTTAAAAATTTATAGCATCAGCACTTACATAAAAATTTCGTTTCTTTTTTATTTTTCCCTACCACATCAAACACTAGTTACCACACTTACAATAATCGCACCCAGCACCGCCCCAAAAAAAAATATTTCAATAAATTCAATGTATCTATTGTTCCAGGTAAATTCCGTCGGGAATTCCACAGATCGTATTTCAAATGTTTCTGCTGTTGCCATTCTGCGGCTTCCCCTGAGCAGAATGGGACATCCTTCGCGCCGATTGGAAGCTCTAGAGCGGGCACAACTAGAACTGTCGTCCGCCGAAACGATTCGTACGTCAGCTACCGGCTCACCCATTTATCACCGTCAAACCACAACATCCATCGAGACTACATTAGGAACACCAATACCTCATTCATTGACCAAATGAATGGGAATCGTAGACCAAAAATCCGTGATGATTCCATCAGCGAGTCAGCAACAAGATTCACTCTAGCAACAGACGTGTGCCGAGATTGACAACTAGGCAAAGATCTTCTAACAGATATACGTAACAGAGATGGCATTGAAACTTATATCGCTAGGAGCACGAACAGTATTGATTGTAAACCGTATTACGATTGTTTTAAGGATGGGAAGATAGAAGAGAGACATAGTGATAATGCTGATTATAGGCACGTAGATGAATCCAAAGATTTATACGACGATGATCTTAAAAACGGGTTTAAATTCAAATTCAATAGGAGTTTGAATAGTTGTCAGATTAAGAATAAGAGAAAGGTAAATATTTATTAAGTTATGTTCTTTCTATGTTTGATGTAAGTATTTTACTTGGAGTTATCAGTTCTAAGCGCAGTTTAAATATAATTATATCGGCAAAGAAAAAAAAATACCGGGTAAACACAAAACGTTGAATAAATTAAGACTATCGGATGTGCATTAGGAATCAGTAACTAGTACTACAGTAAAGTGCCTCTTTCTCTGTCTTATTATAAAACAGCATAGTTCATATGTAAATGATCACTTTATGTGAAAACATATTATGCTTGTTTATCAAACAAACACGAATAGATTCGTGATATAAATTTACGCTTATTATTTTCGTTGATTATCACGTTAGAATTTCCTAATACAGTGCCTTCTACTAAACATTTTAATTCTTGTAATGACATTAATATATACGTATCTTTACGTCCACATAAATCTCCATTTAAGTCTTTATTCACATTTGCTTTGACGTCATCCTATATTTCTTAGTTACCTTCACGTTGAAGCTCTTCATTGACCCCATTCATATCTCCTCGTGACGTCACAACGTCTGCTTATCTTAGTATTGGAATACCTTCTATGAGAACATTTGGAATGAAAATGAAGCTCCGAGCAATCTAAGATATGTTTTCATATCTGTGGAGGTTCCTTTAAATTTGAATCGCATGCTTTGTTATCACGAAGTTTTAAGGTGTTATTAAATTTTCTTAGGAAAGTATACGTTTAATTCGATCTTTTTCGTGTATTTTTTTATGTCATATGCTAATTCCCAGCCATCAGTATCGCCATTCTTCTTAATACATTATAAAATGATAAGCCAAATCCAACTCAGAGGTCTTTTTCTTTTTAATATCATCTCTACCTATTATTTTGTGGGATATTAAGCGCTATGTTTTTTACCAACCTACATAAAAAAAAACTCCCTAAAATGTATTCGAGAATGTTATTTTTAAAACGCTCGAAAATTAATTAAACGCCCGAATATACGGCCGTAAAAGTTTTTATTGCAGAAACTACACTAAAATAAAAATAAATATAAGATGAAACAGAACATTAAAACCTCAACATTGTCGGTTGTTATTTTTTAATCTGTACCTACTTATTTATTCAGAATATTAAAAACAAAGATTTATTTATTCACATTATTATTTTTCATTCTCTTTCTTGTTATTATTTTCGAATATTAATTCGTGAATAAATAAAGGGCTTTGTATTTTTTTAATAGTATAAAAAATTGGAGCTCCTCTGTTTAATGTTTCAATTTTGTATAAATTATAATTAGCCTATCGGGAGTGCTAGGAGGAATGTTCGGTTGCTGTTCGATGTTCGGTTTGATTCGCGCCACATATTTTGCCTTAGATGGTTGGCAGTCAACAACTGTGCGATTGTCGCCATTTTTTCTGATTCGCACAGCAAAACCTTGGTTCACATTGGAATGATTTTTCAGCCGCGGTGCCGAACCGATAAGACCGTTTTCTTTCTAAAAAGCCGATAACACGCCTATGGGGCCTATGGTGTTGCAGGAGTCTATTGACGGCGCTGATGAGTTACCAACCGGTGATACGCTTGCTCGTTTGAAAAAAATACAGATGATTAAAACAAATTAGTTTTCGAGGACACGTAATTTATTTACGCGTCAGCCATATTGGATTTCTAAGGCACATCCGATATCAACATGTAATTCGATATTTTATTTTATAATTACACGTTGTTTGTAAACAGTTTATTTAAATGCAGGAAATGGTGTTTATACAATACTGATCTTACGCGTACACCAGCGGCTATGTTTCATAAATAAGTTTTGTTTTTAGATTTGAATTTAGATACGTTTCTATTTTTGTTCTGTTTTTAAATTAATATTATATCACTTTCTAAACTATTTATATTTAGCTGCGTCATTATATCAGAATTTATTTATTTAATAAATAATTCTATATTATTATTAAAAATTGAAAAAGATTTCCAAATAGTTCCTGTCTTGTTCATTAGTAATATTTTATTCTATACATAGACTATTATATAGAATAGAAAAACAATTATTTTGTCTTATAGACTGGTTCTATTGGAGGTTTAAGTTCGTTTAAAAACTATATCATATTGAAAAAATAATAAAACCTTCATGTTTTTTCCTAATCTATTGTTTGGTTTAGATCATTGACTTAAATAGGTACATTTTGAAATGAATTGTATTAAATCGAAATAATTGAATAATTTCTCAGTCACTGTCAATAACATTATCAATTAATTTGTATTAATAAATTCTAGTTACCTAAATGTGTATAAATGTGACCAAAGTTAAATGTAAGATATCATAAGAAAGATACTGCATTTCTACACTATTGTACATAATTAAAAACCTATGTCTACATAATATTATACATATGCACTCTATCATAATTATAATTAGTTTTAGTATACTTTAGTTTTATAGACTAAGAAAAAATGTTTTTTTTTTAGTTACATTTATCGAATTTATATTTCTAAAATGTAAACAAATATAAATTTTCTGTTTAGTGTTATTTTAAGTGCAATTTGCCTGTAAAATGCTAATATCGAAGTCGGTCACAAATTAATAAGATACTTATTTATTTTTCAATTTGTTTATTTGAGGCAAAATTTTGTTTAAAATTAATTAAATCTTTTGCCTTTGTAATTTACAAATGTAAATGTTAGTTTAATTTAATTTTATTAAATAATATAAATGAAATAGAACACTAATTATGTTCGTAATTTTAAAATAAAATGCACAACCATTCTCATATCTATTACTATTATTTAAAAGTTATAGTCCAAAAATAACTGCATCTATTGTAATTTAATTTAATCAATTGTAAAATATTTTTTATATATTATAATAATATCTAATTTTAAAAACGTAATTTAAAAATAATGTAGTGTAGTTTATAAGATCTGACATCTCAAAAAAACTATTAGTATATAAATTTATTATAATTATGGTTATTTTTATAAAATAAATAACATCCATTAAGAATTTTCTGTTGGAAATAATATTTGTATATTCTTTCTTTTACGTCTTATCGTCAAGACGTCTTGTCATGATGATTCTTGTCATCTTTGCAATACAAAAAAATTTAATCGTTTCAAAAACCAGTAATGCGGAACTATGACTACGTTTAACACAAATTTCAGAATTTCTTTCCGAAAATAATATTTCATTGAAAATACGGGACTATAAATATATTTGTTTATTTTATTTTATTTACTTTTTTAGTAAAAATATGACTAACAATTTATTTTAAAATTTCATTTTTGAAAAGTTTTATGAAACAGTTCGTAAATAAAAAAGAAAAGAGTATTATTTAATTTAATTTTATTTTTATAACTTAAATATCAGCAAAATTTAATGTTATTTTCATTATTTTAGTTTATTACAATAACACGATTTGAATTTAAAAATATAAAAAAACTTACACTTAAAAGTAATGTATGTACAGATTGTTGTAATTTTTTAAATGGATCAATGTTGAAAATTAAATGTAAATAAAAGGGAAAAATTCGAGCTTTTTTTACTAAATAATATTTTTAGTCTTACAAAATTTGTTAAACAGAAATGGTACGAAGAATGAAAATGGAACATTTTTTTTTTCAACAATTGTATGCACACAAAAGTGCGACTTATTTCCGTGAACTATTTGAGAAAATCTCAACTAGTTTTAAGTTACAATAAGGTATAAAATTTCATGAAACATTTAAGAAACCCCTTTTTTGTCCATTCAGCAGATTTTGACTTTTATTAACGTTTGTGTTTTGTGTCATCCTTTTAGCTTTACATTTGATTTAAATAATAATAAATAATTAACGTGATTAGTCTTTTGGGGATTAGAGTTTCAGATTTAGGGATTAGGAGAGAGGAAAGATGTGTCTCTAGTAACTTCACCACACCACCAAAAACACCATCCAACCGACCATCTTTGTGGTTGTTACACGCCAGTTTTCTGTGAGGCCGTGGTATAACTCTGGTCTAACCGCGCCATTTGTGCCGAATTATGGCTCTCCCACATATAAAGATCTCTTATGTACTTCATTTTGTTTTCTAGAAGCAATATTATTTTACTCTTTAACGAGTCTCCTAAACCCTTTGCAGTAACTAGCTATGCCGGCCGCCATTTTGTCGGGAATCGGAGCTCTCTTGCTTCTTAATGAGCTATTTGTGTGGCCATCAACAAATGTGAGTAAACATTACCAGTTGGCATTAAGTATTTTGAAACTAGATTTTTTTTTTAAGAAGCTAAAATGTTAACTGTAGATCAAATTTATCTCTGGAGGTATTTCCAAACTGATGCGAACTTCAAAGCGTTTCTTTAAAGTGAGTATTCTTTCTTAAAAGACCGTCAACGTATTTGTTGCTCCTTTGGTTTTTACGTATGTCCATGTGCGTCCTCAATGACTCTACATCAGATTATTTATCAGCTTGTTCGCTGCTTTATCCCAAAAATAATATTGTTATTTTTTCTTTCTTAAAATACGTTGCCCCGCATTAGGATTTTTTCCTGTGTCGTGGGTGCGGTTAGAAACATACAATTTCAAATATACATGACACCCAGACCCGGAACTAGATCTTGTAGATCACACAAAGAGTTGTTCCGTGCGGGAATCGAACCCGCGACACGTTGCACGGCAGCCAGTTGCCCAGCCACCGCACCAACCGTGCAGTCTAGATGTAAGCTGTATATACATTTAAAAACATCTAATTTTAATGAAACAACCATAATTTCACTTCGACATATGAGTTAGGTTACCGGAGACTTAAATCCCCGCTCCTCTCACAATCAGCACTCGCTATGGACATCCACAACGTCAACGGAGTTAGGTGTTTTGGGGATTTGAGGTGGAGGAGAGGGATTGAGGCTCCAATAACCTTATTCACACAACGAAACACTAGACAAGCTTTTATTTCATGCCAGTTTTCCACATCGCTCTGGTTGAGTCCGCTACACCACAAAACCTCTTTACCACAATTGGATATATTCTAAATTCAAAATTCTCTTCCATTCGAACATCAACTTACAACATAAATTTTTCACTCAATGCCATTTAACGCCCGCGTATGAAAACTTGAATCC